CTGTGGTGGGCAGAGCACATATAGCCCATTGTGTAGCTTTGTGCTTAATTACAAACAAACAATATATTATATGTATACAATATTGCACAAAAGCTATAAGCTTACAGTTATATTTCGGCAGGTGAGCTAGGCGTGGCCTTGTGATTAGCGCGCTCGGAATGTGAATGTGAGAGCTAAAGGTTCGCGGCTCGTTACCGCAAAAATGCATTCCCACCTTAAGATGGGGGCTACTCTAAAACAGAGCCGAGCAAGCGGTCAAAACGTAGCCCAAGAGTTAACTAGTTACCTTCCTTTAAAGTCGAATCAGCTAAACTGAGGAAAGGTTATGCGTAGATAGTCCTATGTATAGCTTTGTGTGAAAATTTTGTAACAAACAAACGAAAATTGTGGCAAGAACGTGAAAAAAAAAAATCCAACAAACTGATACTCACACGGACTAGTTTTAAAGTCCTATACTCCAGATAATCTGATTGATGAAAAATTGCTTTGCTACAACGACTCTTTTGTCCAATTTTAGTTACGGAGGAATTCTTCTATTGGACTATAACATTTATTTTAAACAAAATAAGTAGAACAGAAAGAACAAATTCTGAAACAAAATTATATATATATGTTTATATGTTATATTTTTCTTTATCTCTTTTAACTTTTAGACTTGTGACCACTGCTCTTTTCGAAACGCCAAGGACTACAACTGGCTTAACCGTTGCATCATCCTAGCAGCTGATTACGCTAGCAATGGAATTTATAACTTTATTGTACCCTTGCGAGCACATTTCCACAGTCCTCAAACTTTGCGACCAATCATATTGTTGTTGGAGAGAAGGTAACCAACGTCAGAAATTTGGGGGCGTAATTTGAATCATGATGACGCCTCGTTTTAAAGAGATTATTTCATTATTTTCTGTACTGTTATAACAAATTAATATATATATATTATATATATAGCTCGAATAATTTTGAAATATACACCTTATATACTGTATTGCCAATGTTTGAATACGAATCTATATGTATATTCATTTATTGGGAGATTTTCTATGCTTACAGAACTGCATATATTATACTATGTTATTCATATATTTATCGCTACTTTATCCAAATCGACATTTGTGTGGTAATTCTACTGAAACTGTGGTATTTACTGTTTCTATCGGTGAATTAAAGCTGAATTTGACGTTTGTCGTTATTATTTCTGTTATTCGTATTGTTTAAAAATAAAAGTATTTAATACAGTTTCATCTTGCATCAATACTTTTTTTTTCAGACCACATCCTGCATTTCTTGATGCTATTTCACATTTCCCTTTGGTCTACTGGATGCAAGGTTCCATAGATTAGTAAGTACTATCGTTTGTCTCTGTTGTTTCTCGGGGCTACTGGATCAAAGTTTCATCCATTCGTAAATATTGGCATACATCTCTGTACTTTTGTCTTTGGTCTACTGAACGCCAGTCTTCGTTCACTAGTAAATATTCTTATTTGTTTCCATACTTCTCCTTAGCCTACTGGATGCAGCTTTCTATCAATTCGTAAGTTACTGATATTTTTCGCTACTGTTTACCTTTGTCAACTAAAGTACAGTATCCCTCAATTAGTAAGTACTGATATTTTCGCTACTGTTTATCTTTGTCAACTAAAGTACAGTATCCCTCAATTAGTAAGTACTGATATTTTCGCTACTGTTTACCTTTTTCAACTGAAGTACAGTATCCCTCAATTAGTAAGTAGTGATATTTTCGCTACTGTTTACCTTTGTCAACTGATGTACAATATCCCTCAATTAGTAAGTACTGATATTTGTCACTACTCTTTTTCAATTCCTATTAGGTTTACCGAGTGGAATTATAGGTCTTTCCAGCATTATGTTGAGAATTTGATTCCCCTTGGTGGACTAAGCATATAGCCCGATGTGGCTTTGCTATAAAAATACACATACATACAATTACTGGTGCTTTGAATATGTTTATTATCATTAAAGTGAAAATCAGCCATGTCATTATATCTTAATCGCAAATTATTCTACGGGACAGAAAATGTTGCCCCTATTTCTTATCGCTGAGTCTTTCTACTAAAACAATTGGGCTTAGTGCTTAGATCTTTGAAGTTTATAAACGATTTGTAGGCATTCATTTAGCAGCCTAACAAAATCACGTGGACGCAAAGATATGTATCTCGGAACTCCACATATAAATTTTAAGGCACAAAAAGAACCGTCCAATGTTTTAATTATCTATAAATTGTGAACTTGATAAGATACTGACGAAATGATAGATACAGTCTCTATAGGATGTTTTTAATACATTCGAGTAGGTTTATAAACATAAATATTAGTTAGGTAAAAATACTTTATTTGTTTTACAGCTTGGACGACTTACTGAGAGCAGGAATAAACTTGGCTGATAGTGTCGTGGTGGTCAACAAGGAAAGCAGCAACTCAGCAGAAGAGGATCACTTAGCAGATTGTAATACGATAGTCGCAGTTCAGACTATGTTCAAGTTAGTCTGAGGATTTATAACGTTACTTTTTCAGTTAGAACTCTAAACTATGTTCATTTTAGTCCTAAGATTTATAACGTTTGTTTCTCAGTCAGTGGTCCAGACTATGTTCATGTTAATTCTAGGATTTATAAAATTACTTTTTCAGTCAGAATTATAGACTATGTTCCCATTAGTCTTAGGATGTACAGCAATCCAGACTATGTTCATATGAGGATTAATATTTATAACTTTCTCATTCAATAGTTCAGGCTATGTTCATGCTAGTCCTAATATTTCTAACATTACTTTCTCAGTCAGCAGTCCAAACTAAGTTCAAGCTAATTACAACGCTAGAAACCGGGTTTCGATACCCGTGGTGGGCAGAGCACAGATAGCCCATTGTGTAGCTTTGTGCATAACTTCAAACAAACAAACAAAACAAAAAACAATCAAGCTGATCCTTGGATTTATAATATTACTTTTTCAGTCAACAGTCCAGACTATATTCATGTTAATTCTAGGATTTATATAGTTACTTCCCCAGTTAGCAGTCCAAACTACGTTCATGTTAGCCTTAAGATTTATAACATTATCTCCTCAGTCTGCAATCCAGTGGCGCACATACCGCCATAGCAACTGTTGCTTAGTTACGGGTCACTATCCAATTAATACTGTCAACACCATCGAGCACCTTTCTAGGGATCGAGTGCATATCTGCACTTCAAAATTTAAGTGAAAATAGTAAATCTAACTCATTTCAATAATTTTTAACTCAAACATATTTTAGGATTGATATTTTGTCATTTGTAATAATGTTTATTTCGTGTAATTCGTAAAAAATTAACATTTCCTTTTTTTTCTCTGGTCAGCTCGAAGGTGTCTCGCTAAAAAAAGGGGGGGGGACTATATTAACATTTTGTTGTGGGGCCCATGATATACCTTATACGCTACTGCAGCAATACACACTTTATCCAAGTCAATAGCAGAATGTAAGATGATACTGTTTTCTGTTCTGAGGAGAGCACTCCAAAGGCCCGGCATGGCCTGGTG